CTTCTTACCGAGTGGAAGTGGGTCAAGGTGCAAGACTTCACACCGTGCATAGATTTGTCTCACTGGAATTGTTTCCATATGAATGTCAGGTGATGTTGTGCTCAGCTGGTTAGAAAACAGACTATAGAGTTGACGAAGTTATCAGTCAGTGCAGTATGTTCTATTCCTTGAGCACATAAACTATACCAGGATTTGTAGTAAGAGTGGGCGAACCGGATTGTATGGCCTGAACATATCTTCGGGCGTCACTAGCGATCTCGGAAAACCTCAATTTTCTTTCGTAATGATTATAAACCATCTGGCCTAGAAAAAGGGTGCTGCCATCCGAGGACAAAACACGGATTTGAGTTACCCGTGACCCGGTAGATACTACTTCCGGAGCTAAATTCCGAAAACGCGGGATAGGTTGTGGCGACCGAGCCCAAGCCACCACCTCATGTTAGTATGCTGGGCACACTAATTTCCCACCCCTCAAACATCATCTGATAGGTTTGCGGGGATGGTAAGGGCTGGTGCCAGAGTACAGGTACCCCTCAGTGACATTGGGGAAGCAACAAACAGACTAATAAACTTTATCAAGGATCCGAAGTATCGCCGGCGAGTACGGCACACATGTTGGTGAAGATGCCGGCTATTCCGTCTCCGATGAAGTCGCCGAGTGGGAAAAGTGCGATGCCCGCTAGCCAAGTCTAGTTGCCAAGGCGGTGATCATGATCCAAATGTCGCGTGGTGCCAAGGTTGGCATACTCGGAACAAGTTACCCAGATTTCGTCAAGGTTTCAAAGGTTGCTTCTCATATTTCCTTTATAGTACCCGGAGAGCAAATTCGGAAGAAGTTAGCGAGCACTGAGAGCTAATTAGATCGATAGGTGTGGAGAAGACCGAGGTAGAGAATTAAAATGCATCATGCGTTGTTCTGTGCACAGACTGTTCGGGCTTACAGGGATGAAGAGATTTCCCCAGAAAGAGAAATGTGTGGGGTCCCCATGGGAATGCCAAGACTTCACTCGGTAGAACTCCGGCTACTTGCCTCGGAACATTCCAATCTGGGAATCTGGGAGGGTTGTACTCCATACTCACTATGACGAATCTGAAAGGGTTATTCATAATGAACATCCACTTAGCATATACTTTCTCTGAGACAACTATCCCCATTGCCAAAGGTTGTTTATGAAGAACCATTTTGCACATTCTAAGCCATTTTCACCTATATTCTAGCTCCAACACCAATAAGGGAGAAAATTTCTATAAATGAATTTCGGAATGAAGACTAAAGAGAATTTAATGAAGAATACCAAAGAGGCGGGACAAGGCCACAAATCGGGCCGACTAGTATTCTTATGTCTTTACCAAGGAGCCTTGATTCTTGGCCTCAGAACCCAATCATTATTTCTTCCGCAACGTCACCGGTAGAACCCCGGCAAATCTGTTTTCCCCCACACACCCCCACCAGGTCATTTTTTTCCGGGGATGGGTTGCTGGTGAAGTTGCAGGCTATAAAAAGGGGTCAATATCCCACGATGGCACTTCCAGAGACTGTTCGAGCTCCTGTGTCTAACGAAGTTACGAAAAATGGCCCGCGTCGCTCAGTTTGTGGTTTCAGGCCTTTTGGCTGCCACACTAGCCAATGGCCAATCATTTGATGGAACAGCTCGAAGTGAAGATGCTTTCAGTTATGTCCAGCCCAAGAACACAACCATTCTAGGTCCTTACGGACACTCCCCTGCCGTCCTTCCTTCACGTATGTTCCTCTTGGATCCTTATTTATATAACTGGACTCTTACTGATCTATATCACAGCAAATGCTACTGCTTCAGGTGACTGGGAGGAGGCCTACGCCAAAGCCCAGAAGTTTGTCGCCAAGCTGACTATCGATGAGAAAGCCGACATGGTCACTGGACAGCCGGGTCCGTGTGTGGGAAACATTGTTGCTATCCCACGACTCGGGTTCCCAGGCCTTTGCTTGCAGGATGGTCCTTTATCAATCCGGGTAGCCGACTATGCTAGCGTTTTCGCTGCTGGTGTCACTGTGGCATCCACATGGGACAGAGATCTCCTCTATGAACGAGGTTATGCCATGGGACAAGAATTCAAGGCCAAGGGTGCTCATATTGCCCTCAGCCCTGTGGCTGGCCCACTTGGCCGCTCTGCCTACGCAGGCCGAAACTGGGAAGGCTTTGCTGCTGATCCTTACTTGACCGGTGTCGCCATGGAGAAGACCATTCGCGGTCACCAGGACGCTGGCGTGCAAGCCACCGCGAAGCACTTCATCGGTAACGAGCAGGAGACTCAGCGTAACCCTACCTATGACTCGAATGCAACCGTCACAGATGTGATTCAGGAAGCAGTGTCCTCCAACATCGATGACCGAACTATGCATGAGCTGTACCTTTGGCCCTTCGCCAATGCCGTCCGCGCCCAGGCTGCTAGTTTCATGTGCTCCTACCAACGTCTGAATGGTTCTTATGCTTGCGAGAACTCCAAGGCACTCAACGGCCTGCTTAAAGAGGAGCTTGGCTTCCAGGGATACGTTATGTCTGACTGGGGTGGCACTCACTCTGGTGTCTCCTCGATCGAGGGTGGTCTTGACATGAACATGCCCGGTGGTCTTGGTTCCTACGGTCTAGTCCCCGAAGCCGGCTCCTTCTTCGGCAAGAACGTGACATATGCTGTCAACAACGGAACCGTCGACGAATCTCGTGTCGATGATATGATCATCCGCATTATGACACCCTACTACTGGCTCGGTCAGGACAAGAACTACCCCGAGGTGGACCCCTCATCCGCCGACCTGAACACGTTCTCTCCCCGTTCAACCTGGCTCCGCGAGTTCAATCTGACCGGCGAGCGAAGCCGTGATGTCCGTGGGGATCATGCCAAGCTGATCCGCAAGCTCGCAGCTGAAGCCACCGTCTTGTTGAAGAACGAGAAGCAGGTCTTGCCCTTGAAGGCTCCTAAGAATATCGCCGTGTTCGGAAACGATGCTGGTGAGAACACAATGGGCCCTGTGAATCAGGCGACATTCGAATTCGGTACCCTCGGTTCTGGTGGTGGCTCGGGTACCGGCCGCTTTACCTATCTCGTCTCTCCACTCGAGGCCATCAAGGCCCGTGCCCAGAAGGACAATGCTCTTGTCCAATACTTCTTGAACAACACACAGATCGCGACCAAAAATGTTACCGATCTTTGGGTTCCCACAACTCCCGATGCCTGTCTGGTCTTCCTGAAGACCTGGGCCGAAGAAGGCGCCGACCGTGAGCACCTGACAGTGGACTATAACGGAAACGATGTTGTCGAGTCCGTCGCCAAGTCTTGCAACAACACAATTGTCATCACCCATTCCTCCGGCATCAATGTCCTCCCTTGGGCCAGCCACCCCAATGTCACTGCCATCGTCGCTGCCCACTACCCCGGCCAGGAATCCGGTAACTCCATCGTCGACGTCCTCTATGGTGATATTAACCCCTCCGGACATCTCCCCTACACAATCGCCAAGAATGCCAGTGACTACAACGCCCCGCCCACCACCAAGGTGTCCACCAACGGCACGGACGACTGGCAGTCCTGGTTCGACGAGAAGCTCGAGATCGACTACCGCTACTTCGACGCTAAGAACATCTCTGTGCAGTACGAATTTGGCTTTGGTCTCTCGTACACCACTTTCAACATCTCCGATATCAACACTGAGCGCGTGGCTGACTCCATCCCCTCCGTCCCCGAAGAGCAGCCCATTCAGCCCGGTGGAAACCCCGCTCTGTGGGAGACTATCTACAACGTGACCGTTTCAGTTACCAACTCTGGTGATGTTAAGGGTGCTACTGTTCCCCAGTTGTATGTTACCTTCCCAGACAGCACCCCTGAGGGAACACCTCCCAAGCAGCTGCGCGGTTTCGAGAAGGTTTCTTTGGCTGCGGGTGAGTCGCGCACTGTTGGATTTGAGTTGATGCGACGTGATTTAAGTTATTGGGATGTTGTTTCTCAGAAGTGGCTCATCCCCGAGGGCGAGTTTGTCCTTCGTGTTGGATTCAGCAGTCGTGATTTGAAGGAGGTCGCTAAGATTACTCCTGTTTCCGCTTGAAGCCTGTATATAATTTATGATTTGTGATCAGATAGCCAGGTAGCATATATATAACAGATTTTGATTTGTTCCATGGTCTTTCTACTATTATTTCACATTATTCGCTCATCTATTGCTTATATTGATTCTAATGATTGGTACCGAGGTTTATCGAACACATACGGACTTTGATAGTCCATATATCTCCTAATCAAAGAGAGCAGAGACCTCATTCCTATACAACGTCAACATCCTTCCAACAATTCCCTTAACCATTCGAATAAACGGCTTTTCCCTCGTCCCAATGATAATTCGATCAGATGAAACATTCACACATTCGTGAACCTGCACATTAAGCTTTTCAATGTTCGGCATACTCGGCTTTCAATTTTTCTGGCTTATTAATATGCAAGATTTCGATCTTTGATTTTGAAATTGAAGGTAGGTCGTTGCGGGCCTTTCCCCCAAGCCTCTCGCGCTCTGTTTCTATCCAACTCGTTTAGCCAACACGAATAAGCCTAAAAACCAGTACTTTTTACAAATATTGACGCCAATCCCAAGCTTATTATTATCCAGCCGGCGAGGAAATGCTTTCTTTTTCTTTAATTATGCTTACTACCTATTTTCCTACTCATATAGGACCTATATACGGCACATAAGGGAGACTTGCACCTTTTCGCTTACCTGATGGCCCCGCTAGCGGAAGCACATGGTGTTTCATCTGCAACAGTCAATGTCCTTAGAAGATACAACAAGAACGGATAAATACGACTATGGTATCAACAAGACTAGGCAAAAAATTAAAAAAAAAACATACCTCGTTTCAATACAAACTTGACCACGTGACTGCACACTTCAAACCCCATCCCTTGCATTGATTGATATACCCAGCTACGGTCGAAACTGCATATTCAAGAAGCAATAACTCAATCAATCCCTCACCATGGCCACCAAACTAGTCTTCTATGACATTGCCATGCGCCCTCCAGTTGAAAAGAACAACAGCCCCGTAAACACTTGGAAGACCCGTCTAGCCCTGAACTTCAGATCACTCCCCTACTCAACCAATTGGGTCCAACTCCCCGATATATCCAGCGTCCGGACAGGCCTCAACATCCCCGCATGCCGCAAATTCACCGACGGTACAGACTTTTACACCCTTCCCATCCTAGTGGACCCAACAACATCCCGCAAACTCGGCGACTCCTTCGACATTGCCGTCTACCTACAAAAGCAATACCCTGCCGGAAACGATCTTTTCCCGCCCCAGCCCCTAGACTACGTCTTCAGCACGGACGTCGCAATTTTGATTCCTTTATCTGAGTGCGACGAGGGTGAATACCCCGAATATGCACGCTTCAATGTGAATGTCGATTCTGCATTTACCTCGCACGTCATACTCATGGCTCAAGGGGTACCCTTTGATCCTGCAACTGCCGAGGAGATGAAGGCAGAGTTTGTTCGGCGGGCTGGGGTGAGCTGTTGGGAAGATTTTGTTCTTACCGGTGAGCAGCGTGAGAAGCTTATTAGGTCCTTCCGGGATATGCTGGGGGAACTGGCGAAGCTTTTTGGGAGGGATGGGCCATTTTTGCTTGGGGATCGGGCTAGTTATGCGGATCTTATTGTTGGAGCTTGGTTAAGGATGGCGAGCATGACTTTGCCTCGTGAGGAGTGGGAGTTAGTTAGAGGGTGGCATGGTGGTGTTTTTGGGAGGTTGCATGATGCATTGGAGATGTATGCGGCTGTTCAATAGCGAGTGGGGGGTTATCTACGCCTAGTAGGCCTAGTACGGGCGCTTTTATACTATCTTATTGCCGCTTTTTCTTATAACCCTACACCTATATTTTAGTAATTAAGTACTTACCGATAGCGTCTTCTCTTATAAATTCCTATCGCGCACCTATATCCCTTTATTCCTTCTATTCTTCCCTTATAAAGGTTGAAAGGTCTGTATATTATAGCGATAGGGGTTTAATATTATCGATAGACCTTACTAACTCCTACTATTTAGTCCCATAGTGGTGCTAAGAGATAGGTATCTCACAACTCATCAAACATGAAACTCCCTATCAATCTATTAGTTAATCGAATTGTTCTCCTCCCAATGAACCCTAAAGTAGTAGAGATATACATTTGTTCTATTTCTTAATAAGTAAACTGAGCATCAGCGCAACATATATGAGACATTCTCACTTCTTATATTTTTGGGGGACACATATGGGGGCAAAATGGCTCTGCGTTACATTCAGTACAGAGCACTAGATAGATCCGCTGGCATATCTTGTAGCTAGAGCCCCCAAACGGCCAATCGGACAAGGATTCCCGTAGCTCCGATATAAACGAGAGCATAGACCTACCTACAGGGATAAGTTATGACAGCTTAGCTGGTTTCTTAGACAATGCACAGACTTTCCCATGTCCACTATACATCATTGATCCGGGTTTAGCAGTAAACTGGACATATCATGAGCTTGAGAACGGAGGATAGAGGCCTAATCTACTAGCTAGTCTGTCTACTCTTCTCGGAAAGATGTCTCATTATGAGACACAGCTTGCAGCTATAGACGGAAGCAAGCCAGAACAGTCACCAATCGGGGATGTTCTGTCTCTACACGATCCTAGGTCATTCTCATAAACCACAGCTATCTATCTACTATTAATGCAACTTCCAATATTAAACTGCCAGCCAGACTGCTTACACCCTCCTGCTACATCCACCAAACGCTGATCTACTCTGTTATCTTCGTCTATCTCCGCGAGCAACTTTCTAACACCGTGGACCCTTGCTCTACTCACAGGCCCACATACTCCACATATAGATTAATGGTGGATATATTGTAAATGCTTACCAGGGTCTGCGATGGTGGCCAGCCCCAAGCAAGTTGCATGTATCTCGGGTTTGAACTTGTTGAGCGTACTAAATAAAGTATTTCTATGTTGGTTGACCCCTTTGCGATCGCCTGGAACATTCAGACCTATCGAGTTACAGGTCTCAAGGGAGATATCTTAGGGTTTGATAGGAGATATGCTGCCCTTATTGGATTAATGTGTCACAAGACCACAATCACACTATTATCTAAAGCGATAGTCCCTGAGGGGTTTGCCATCTCCTGGCGGTTGTCGCGACATCTATAGCGACAAATGCTAAGAGGAGAATGAATCGACTATGGGAGGGTCATAAATTTACATATACATGTTGTTCACAACGATTACTGAGGTCAAGTGTTGTTAGTTTAGTCCCTACGCCGGCTTTAGTGTTAGTAGTTTTAATTTGCTTCGATCTAAATCGGCCCACTAAGGCTGTCTCTCACTCGAAGCTGCTTCTACCGTACAGCTACAAATTTAAAAAGAAAGATGGCGGAATTTTTGTAACTATGATGATTGGCGCCTGAAATTCGGAAACTGATACGATCAGACATGCCATTCAGGAATTTCGGTGCCGATCATTGACCCTGCCTAGTATTGCAGTACCCACTGAGTCCTGCTGATCGGGCATTTTATCTAGGGGCTGCTAAGCCATGGTAGTAGATGTATCTAGATAAGAAGCTATCTTCTTACACGTGGATTGCCTTTTACGGGGTTGTGAATGCAAAACATAAAGCGTATATTCTTCGACATGTATAACATTGTAGTTCATATTCTAGTATACTTGACCCTACGCTATGACGTCTTTTTACTTATTTAGGGGCTAGCAAAATCTTGTTTCCACGTTTGGCCCCATATTATCTTGGCCCCCGAACACCGGACACCGTCTGGACCCCGCCTGTGCATCGCGCGTACTTTGTATATACACTTCAACTTATTTGCCTTTACCCTATGACACCCAGGAACATTAGGCACCCGATAAGTCTGTGTTGTAAGCATGATCCATTTTCTTGTCTGCCAATACCACGGCATCTACGAAGATAAATGAGCAAGATTCTTCCTTATTCTTCTCATTATGAACGACGAACTTCAACAATCCATCGGCCTTCTCATCAAAGCGATTTCCTTCTACATCACTGTTCTCGCCTTCAAAAAACTCGTGCAATTGATAATTTCCGTCGATCAACCGCCAGAATGGGTGCCATTGGCGAGAAGAAATACACATTCGCAGCAGCAATCACGGCGCTCGTAGGCTTGATTATGGCCCGTGGAGCTCAAGCTCTCCCATTCAGATGGTACGTCAATGCCTCGAGCATTCGAGCAGGGGTTGTCTGGATTGTCTGTGGCTATTTCATGCCTAGTCAAGCTGCCACGGGGTGCGTTGGGGCTGCTTTGTCCATCGGTATTGGTGCTGTCATTAGTGCCCATGGTGGTACCGGCACATCCGATGCATTGATTCCTTACAGAATCTCCGTGGACAACGTTAGCTACGCCCATACTACCCATGAGGGCGTTACCCACAATTTCATCAACACTTCGGTTCTGTACCACGACTGGCACCACGTGCATGCCATCGATCAGCCCATGAACCTAACAGTGAGTATGCTTCCCGATGGAAGAGTCCATGCCCGCACCGTTGGATTCAGCGCTATGGACTGCGGTGATAATTGTCCGGACAAGAATGCCACCAACCAACTCGCAGCTCGATCGGGATCTGTGCCATCTCATGTCCAAGAGATCGTTTTCGCCTGGTCTGCCCGGAAAGGATGGTCCTCGAAGACAGAAACTAGGCTCAAGGGAGCCGTGTTTGGGGCAGCATATTATGTGACTCACGAACCATCCGGAGCCTTCCAGTTTTGCTCCAGTGCATACTTGACTGACGGCACGATTGCTCATGTTGGCTTCAACTTCTATGGCGACAAATACACACCCAACATACCACCTGCTTGTTAATTGGGTATTGAAACGGCCGATCACAGGTGAGTCAAACACTGCGTTTCTAAGACAACCCTCGAATTTCAGTGTGCTAACTAATTTCAAGTCTATGAGAGTTAGTTCGACTTCGATTGGATTAAATTTTGATCATTATGCCTGCTTGGATGGTTCTGTTGTGTAAATGCTGAGAACAGTCGTTGCAACAAATAGTTTTGGTAGCAGAATTGAGCCGCCGGGTGGGGGGGTTCGGTATTAGGAAATGTGCGCCATTTAAAGGAGGAGTGTCATTGGGCCCATCGTAGTCAAATAAACACCCTACCTTTTCTCTATGTTTAACAAGAAAATGAATGGATCAATTGGTTTATGGCAGAAATCAATCTGTTGAAGTTTGGAAATACTGAATTGGGTTTGGCTGACCAAGTAGACACCAGAGCGAAGGTGGTGATTGTGCCGTGCCAGGTGCAAAAGAGCGACGCTCCGCATCCACCCACTAATCACTCCAGAAAATGGCTGCTCTAGTCCAAGGTCGTGTCCGGAATGTAGAATATTGTTGGTAGGCAATACAACAAGGGCTTCCATGAGGTCGTGCACAGTTCATGACCAAACTACTGTTAGCTAATTTTTGCGTTTCATCTAGTATATCTAGTATCTCGCTCAGTATTCCTTGAGAAGCCCGTAGGCAGTAGTAGATAGCTAAATAGAGAAAAAAAAACTAATGAAACATACAACAGTGAGGATTCGCTGGTGGTCACCCACCCAACTACTAACTCACCGGCGTGTGGCTTAAGTACGGCTGAGCGGACGGGAAGCCCTGTTTTCCACACCCTATGGTCGTATGTATCAGGTTTTGCATGAGAGAGGATTATAGAGCAAATGTGAGTGGGTGTAAGTGGGTAGTGTATGATGAGATGGAAGGGCTAGTACGCTATGGATAGACTAAAAATTACCGAAGTCGCGCGAACACCTACACTAACCCTCTCAGCTAAACTAGGATATACTTTGTTCTTAGAGTTATGACCAAGGAGAGGGGGGAAGGAAGGATTGAATTCTCTACACACAAACTGAGAGCTACTTAAATAGCTAAGGGGAGGTCTGGCAAACCAGGCATCAAGGCCGGTGGCTATTTCAAGACTTACATATATATGTCTAGCAGCTCCCCAGATGGTATTGTTACAAAAGTAATTCTTTTCACTTCGGTTCAAACGTGTTCGGCTCTATTCCATTCGATCTGAGAACAATCCTAAATATGTGCAGCTAACTATATCAAGATAAATATACCATGTAACTAGGTTGAAAGAGCACCTGGCGTATTTGTGACAAAAGAAATAGGGATTGCAACTGCATTATTGGCCATTGATTTGCTGCTTCAGTGGGCGCGTCCAGAGTAGTACGAACTCCCCTTGCGAAAGTAAGGATGGAGGCACGCCTGCTTTGCGGAAAGCCTTTTCACGGGGTCGTACTGGAGAAGAGCCTCGAGTAGCTCGCAGCCAGCACTATCCAGGCCGGGTACCAGAGGGGCGCCAGACCGCTTCCATTGAGGAAACGTGCTTTTGTAGTCGGGAAGCGCAGTGACACCGGGCCAACTCTCTTCGTCAGGGGTGCCAAGGAGGCTATCGAATTGAGTAAGTCAATTTCATTTGCAATATAGACATGAAAAAAATAGTGTTTACCGAAATATCATGAAGATTTCCTCAATCTCCGAGTCAGCAGGGAAGAGGGGCTTGCGAGTACACATCTCAGCAAAAATAGCCCCCACAGACCACATATCGACGCCGGTGGAATACCGGGGACTACCAAGGAGAATTTCCGGGGAACGATACCATAGGGTCACAACCTTGTTTAATACATGTTAATATTCAAGAGTAAAAGAATACATCTTTCAGTGGGGGTTTTACCTCATGGGTATACCTCCTCAGCGGAATACGGAAAGCCCGAGCCAGTCCGAAGTCACCCAATTTCAGGGTACCCTCCCTGTCAATCAGCAAGTTCTGCGGCTTTAAATCACGATGTAGGATACGATGACTGTGGCAATAGCGGACACCCTCAAGCAGTTGTGCCATGAACTTTCTCACCATCGCTTTATCTAAACCGAGGCTTATTCTCGATCCATTCGGTAGAGGTTTTCCCCGGCCACCTTCGCTAATAGGCAGGGCGTCCATATATTTCTTCAGGTCCAAGTCCAAGAACTCCATGACGAGATAGAGGTTCAGACTATCGGAATGTACAATATTCAACAACTGGACAACATTCGGGTCCTTCATTTCTTTGAGAAGGGAGATCTCTCGAATGGCTGTACTAGGGACGCCATCATCTTCGGCTTCGAGTCGGACCTTCTTTAGAGCAACGATGCGGTTGGGATAGTTCAACTCTCGAGCCTTGTAAACGACACCGTATGCTCCTATGGTAGACAAGACGTCCGTTAGCTAGGGTCTAAGGTAACCATGCCAAACAGACACGGCAAAAATGTCACCTTCGCCAACTTTCTCAATTTTCTGGTAATTCTCCATGGTGAAAGTGACTCCTGGTTGGTTTTATAAATCTTAATCAATAGAAAATTGGAAAGTACCGAGGTAATGGAAGAGATACAGGAGGAATAAAGAAAATGATCAGTGGAAAAGCTGGGCAAAGCGGCTGAGTTTATAAACCCACATACCAGTAATAATCACTGGGCGTGTTGCTATGGTGAATAGGTTACAACATCTACGGCGTGTTGCTATGGCGAATGCCTACTCTACGGTACAGCTCATAAATTTGGTAATGTAATTTACTTGCGAGCTGCACTGGGTCTCTCTAGATATTTATTTCTCTTATGGCCATTATTTTTACCCGCCCCGCCCCCTGGTAATCTTATTTTGTTTACGCACCTATAAATGGGGGTTGCCAGTGCTTAGATTGCTTCCTCTGACTGAATCGCATAGCTATCTCAGTTCACCATAGGGGTGACTACTAGGATACCCTGCGCAAGTTCAGGAGAGGAGCTACCTTCGCTGCCCCCCCCCCCCCCCCC